GCTTCCCACTGTGACCACAGCCTTCTGATGCTGGCTGCTGAACAAACTAATGGAGGTTAAAGCTGCACTTCTCTCATCACTTAGCTTTCCACTTAACTGATAAGAACACGGCGTCCCCTGTGCTCTCTCTGCTTGTAACTGTGAGACGTATGCATGCAGTACGATAAGAGAAATGGTCATAAACAATAAATATCCCCACAAACAGTCACTGGTTTTGCAGTAAAGCTGGAAAGATTAATCAAACAAACCAATAATAAGGTGAATATGTTCTAGTCAAAATAATTTATCATATACTTTTTGTAGTGTTGTTCTTCCCATCGCTGCAGAAAAATCCATCTTTATTTATAATTTATTCATTTGACATTAACTATAGATACCCTATACTTCATTCAAGTGGCTCTTTTTGGGATGTAATGAAACCTGGCAACCTTCCACTTCGACTTCCACACTGCAAACTGCTTTGTCGTGCAGAAAGCCTTGACCAGAATGTACTGTGTGCGAAAGTTATGGATCTATTTTCTTCTTTATGAAACTGGAGACATTCAGCCATGTTGGCTGAGCTGGCTCTGGCCTAAATCGAATCTGAGGCAGAGCTCTTTCTCCAGGGGACGAATGAAATAAGCCTTCAACTCCTTAGATGTTTAATCAACGAATCCCAGGTATGGGTCCCTATAGGGGACAGTCTCATTGGGAGGGGATGGGGAAGGAATTGCTACTACCGCTCACACTGCTGTCTGTATAGCTCCCATTGCTCGGACGTGTCAAAGCAGGAGGGAGTCGGTGTTTCTTGAGAAATCCTTGCCCTCCTGCCCTATCCTCTGTAAGAGGTCCGTGTTTACAGTGAACTCTGGGTCAATCCCATTTGGCTTGTCGTACACTCAGGAGGCAAACGACGTAGATCTGCAACAGAGTGTAACCTCCTGGATCTGGCCGAGACCTCGGCTGAAATGGACTCGGCCCCTGAGCCGCGGCACCCCGGTGCCAATGCAGTCAGACACCCATGCTATTAGCTGCTGTGCTAATTTTACACAGCTCTATTAAGAATGAGTCACTGCCACGAATGGCAGCCACAGAGCCATAATGGGAAAGTTATTTCTGAGGGCATACCTGCATGCACACAGGCTTATTATTAACCCCAGTGACCCCTTTAACTAAATTATATTTAAGCTGTCCAAATCTTTCACATGATGCCCTTTTCTTGCACTTACAGGTTATTAATATAATGTGACATGCCCATCCTTCAAAATACACCCACTGTGTGTGTGTGTGTGTGTGTGTTAGGGAAAAGGTGCTGTAACACGTTTGGGTGAAATGCTTGTTTTATTTTAAAAATCTTTTAAAATAACAGCGAAATAACTTTGCTGTGAATATGATAATGCTGAGTGATGTTCACTTTGAACCGATTCCTTTAGTGAAAAAAATTATATTTTACAGAAAATAATCTTTGTGAGAAATAAAAGTTGATGAGATTTACTATGTTGGTACTATGTTTTGTATAATCTGTACAAATCCATCTGATCAACATTTCAAAAAACCCCTAAAGGTTTCTGTTTACTATAATACCATTTTCTATGACAAGTGCAAATGTCAGCATTAAAATGCTAATGGTAGGCTTCTACGGTCTCTAGTCTGACTCATCAGGTCTCATTTAGCCACTTTTTAGTGTATAACAAGTGGCTAAATGTGAGCATGTGTAGAAATACGGCACATGCAAACACAGGTAGGGTCTTTATCTTACTGTATAACAAGACTCTTTGTATTCGTTTGTATTCCAGTACTTTTGATAACAATCACTTTTCTAAATGAAAGAATTGTTGAGGAGCCCGCGGTTCTGCTGTTCCGGTCCAGTCAGAATAATTTCCCATTTCTATGTTTGCTTTGATCCTCTTTTAGCCTGTCGGCCAATCTGTCGGAAGGCCATGCGACACAGAATAGATCATCGTTTTAGAGAGATTGGTTGGTATGGTGGATCTTTTCTGAATTACGGTCAGGATGTCACACTTTCACAGTGACCATACTTTTAAACCTCACATTCAGAAAAGGCCAGGAGGGAAGTATCTTTGGTCCTTTTATAACAAAGAGATTAAGAGGGAGCAGTATATTCGCTGTGACAAACTGCTCTGTGGAGTCAGAACAGGTGACCTCGGAGACGGTTCAGGACAGTAGAGTACAACTGTGTGCCTTTTAGAGGCAGTCTGCTTTTGTGTTGTAGCTAGATTGCTTTTTCTTGTAGTTGAAAATATGTGTGCAATACACTCGAATGTGGGTTCATACAGTATATAAAATTCATTTGGGTCAGTGCTTCTGTTGTCAAGAATTTGCAGCAATTTATATTTGGCAGACGTTTCTGCTCTTACATGTACATATTCAGAAGGTTGAAAGCTGGGAGAGCAGCAGCAGTAGGAGGGAGGTGGAGGTGGGTTGCAAAGCAGCTTACAGATGAGCACTTTAAGTAGGCAGGTTAAAGCAGCTTACATAGCAGATCCTCTAGTTTTGCTAATAGAATGTGTAGAAGGATATCGGCTGATGCATCAGCTGATTGCTGGTTTTGAGATCAGCTGATCGATGGGGATTGTGGATGAACTTGACCTCAAGGCGTGCCTGAAGTAAGGCTAAAGTTGTATTGGTCTTCTGATGTAGTTTGAGAAAAATGAAGCTGCTACTTTATGTGGCTACATCAGCGTGTTTGTTTGAACGTTGTCAGTGTTGCTTCATCACGTGTGCGTTTCTGTCACAGTAAAGGAATGCCTACTTGGGAAAACTGCCGCATTCGATTGAGACCCACCTTCCCTTCCCTTGTGAAGGTCGCTCCTCCCTCCTGGAACATTGATACTCTTTGCAGAGATTTGTTATGACTCATTTGCTGTCACATAAAGCTCGTTATACATCTGGCCACAGCTGTGCAGAGTTGCACATCCACAAACTCACAATTAAACACATGTACGCAGATGCATAAACAGTTTAATCTGCACTACAGGGAGCGCGTTAACTTACATGCTCTCTCCAGGTGTGTCTTTCACCTCCACTGGCTGTGTCCCTAATTAAATTTTTACTCTCTCATCTCTGCCTGTGTGTCTTTCAAAGTAACCTATAACTACTCTGACATCGGACTGCATGCTTAATGCATGACTTTCTTTTGTGTTTTACTTTTTAAAGTACTTTTTTTCCAAGTAGGTCTTCTGAAAATGGTTTAATGAGGTCAATAGAACAAAGACAATCATAGACTTCTCTGCAGCCAGTCTTTTTGCATCCAGAGAAGTTGGCCCTCTGTATCCATTAGAAAAACAACACACTTTTCAGACCTGGAAGCTACAGCTAAGTGTAAAACGTTCCATAAATACTCCTGCACATAATTTGGGGCTGTATTTAACATGTTATTTTCACCTCACAATCTGTAAGACTGTTTTATGGAGCAGATCACTGACCTTGGATGCGTGTGCAGAATAAAGCAATAAAACTGTGTGCAGCCATCTTATTTAGTCTTCTGTGTTTAATGGTGTTCTGTCAACTGATGATGAGATGAGATAGCAGTTTGTTGTCATGTCTTTTATCCAATTTCCGCTTTTTTATACGTGGTTGCAGTATGGGTAATGTTTATGGAAGTGTTGTTGCTTTTACACATCCACACTTGTTATCATACTTGTCAAAGTTCAATAAATAGATTTGTTGAAGTGAAACGGTGAAGATGAGTTCACTTTTCTGATGCCAACACTGTTGTCTTATTTTTGGATGGATGAATAGCAAGTTTAGTTTAAGATCCTCATTTCTCCTCATTTAAAAATAAATGTCTCCATATGTAAGAAGGGTGCATGATCCGATTTGGTCTTTTGTATGTCTAAAGCTTTAAGCACAGCACTTTGATGTTTAAGGATGTCATTTGTAAACAAAATCTAGACATGATGTGAGTGATTTCCTGTTGGTTATGAAGTGGTGCTGAGGTTTGCACCCAGATCCAAGCCTGCAGTAACCTTTGAAGTTCTTTCTTTTTGCCTCGCCTTGTTCGCTACAGCTGATCCTGAAAATAAGACCATTATACAAATGCAAGCACAGCTTAAATTACCATTTTAAATGAAGCGCAGCCATTGGGATGGACAGTCACCCCACCTCTCCATGAAGGCTCTACTTCATAGCCACATCTGCCCATGGACACTCCCGTCATGAGTGGGTTATTAATCATTTGGCTAAATCGGATTTATGTGCTGTAAGATGATATATGGGGGGCATATGCAGGCACTGGAATATTGATTTCATTTTGGCTTTAAGCTCAGACATCGTCAGCTAGGTGTTATGAGCTATTGACAAATAGCAGGCATCCAAAAGGGTGAAGCCAGCTGGCGGAGCTGATCTCTAACTTTTCTGCCTTTTTGCCCTATCTCATTGTCTAGTTGGCCATGGTGTTCGAGGCTTTTAATCAACACAGAAGTAGTTTCACACTACCTGCCGCAGAAATCCTTCAGTGTTTTACAACCTTAAGTGTAGAGGATGATAAGAGTTCAAAATGTGAAATGGTTTTCTTATGGTGGTGCTCGCATTTTGCAAACTGCAGCAGTAAAACCTTACTCCATAATCATGGAGCTCATACAAACCACTGCAGTGAGCAAGAGAGGTGCGATTCCCCCAAACATGGAGCTTAAATTACATTTAAGATCATTTCATATTCGTGTTCTGTATTTGAGATGCTCAATTACCACATAGTTTTGTGCTAATTAGTCAAAAGTAAAGTCCCTTAGGATAGTTTCATTATTATTATTATTCTATTTTTTCAATCCCAGACCTGGAAATTTCCAAGTGAGTGAGCCAAGCAAACATTTTCTCTTAGATTATTATGTACAAAGAGGCCTGTGTGTTTGCAGTCTTCTGCCCCAGCTGTCAACGTCAAATGACTTGTTGGTGTGTTTAAATATGGCGACGATTAAACGAGTAATGTTGTTTTCCCGCAGCGATAAACCAAGCGTGACCTCGGCCATTTTTAATGCCTGCTTCAATCTTTGTCTCGACAGAACAACACGTCATGGAGGCCGCAGTCCTGTCAGGAGTGTACCTGCTATGGTGATGTGGCCATCTGTGGGCCCACCCACTGTCCCAACCCCCACTGTGACCTGCAGAGGGTAAGATATTTTACATTTGACAAATATGCACTTTTTCTTTTTGTCCCCTGTAATTATTATGTCCAGGTGAGCAATCAATCAGTTTACCTAGTGATGTTATCTAATGTTGTTTGTTACATGCCAGTTTTTGCTTCTGGTTTTTGGGTTATGACTCATTTATATTAGAGCGAAAATAAGACAACTTCCCTGAAGCTATGAAAAATTGGGGCTTTCCGGGTGATTGCATTGAATTTTCCACAGTCAGAGACAATCGGAAGTGGTTGTAGCAAATAGCTGCTCGGTCAAAGGTTGAGCTTGCAACACCCACAACCTCTGGAGGATCACTCTTTATAACAAGGCGATTTTAGGATCGCCTGTTGGGAGACTAACTGTGTTCAAACAACTGCAGTCTGACTCGGACTGTTAGCAGAAATAAGCAAATGTTATTAACATTATTATAATGGTTTGAAATCTTCTTTGAAATCTGCTAGCTCATTTATTCAGCTTAAAATCTATGCTAACTTTAAAATTGTGAAGTTGCTAGTTCGCATGACTGAGGACTAAGAAGACATCAAACATTGACATTTCTTTAAAACCTCAGAGATACAAACAGGTGTTAGTGCCGTGGTGCAGTGAGACTTCAGTAAAGGATAAATGATGAGGACCCCACGGCAGTCATACTGGAGCATACGCTGTATTCGTGCAGATTTTGTTTAAACTTCTAACAAAGTAGTTTTGGTGCATAAACAGAAGTAAACAGAAATTCAATGACCTGAATACAACATGGGTTGTATTCAGCGGCTGAGAGGAGGCAGCAGAAACACTTAGCATGACAGCTAGAAACTTACAGTGACACTGGTACTGGGAATTCGGCTGCTGTCTTATCATACATGAAGCGAGCAGTGTTCGTACAACCAGTAATGTTACTTTGAGTTAGTGAGGTGAAGAAATTAGGTTCATCTCAGTCCATACGTCCATGTGCAAGCATGTTTCTCCCACACTCTACAGAGGGCAGTGGCACATACTTGTGACATCATTAAACATTAACTTAGGTTGTCTTAAAGAGAGACCACACAATTGTTACTGTTACAACCTGTTCATAAATCTCCCAAATGCGGCACAAATCAGTCTTCGAGCCATTAAACTACGTTGGTTACCCTTTTTTTAGGTACGAAAGCAGCATCCCTCCAATTGAAATTCATATTAAGCCCTAACTTTGTCTTAAAGTTAGGATTGCCCATCCACATATTGACAAACGTTATTTCAGCTGTCATCTCTACAAGCTGCTGAATTTCATCGACATAGTTGCCGGGTCAATGCTGGTCTTTTCCTGTGTGCATGGCCTTTGACATATAAAGCACCCTGTGCTGGAATGCAATTCATCAAGCAGACACAAACTAGGTAGACGAGCAGTATAAAAAGATCAGGAGAAACATCCAGAAAGTTAAAGAGAGCCGTCTGTGGGTCTTAATGTGACGGGACTGAAAATAGACAGTGATATGAAAATAGTCAGACTGTGTTTCCCTCCTCGTTTATAATATTATATTGCAATAGCAGTGCACAGTGCATGGCCACATTTATGTGTTGTGAAAAGGTTCTCAGTATTGCAGAGTCTTACACAACAAGTGAAGATTTTGCCTCTGTCAGTGCGCCCCAGGGTGGCTGTGGCTACAATGTAGCTGCCATCACTAGTGTGTGAATGTGTGTGTGAATGGGTGGGTGACTGGATGTGTAAAGCGCTTTGGGGTCCTTAGGGACTAGTAAAGCGCTATACAAATACAGGCCATTTACCATTTACCAAGATTTTGCATTTTCAAATGATCACAAATGGAATTATTTCTTGATAGCGATTTAAATCCGTGGCCTTGGAAGTTCAGGAGGTTCACCTTTGCTTTGTGATATTTTTATTTCCTTTTATCTCCTTCTTTACAAGCACAAATCCACTTTCAAGGACCTGTTAAATCACTTTCCTTTGTGCGTTGCCCTTACAACAAGAATTCATGAACTGGCAGACTATTGTGCAGCCGAGTCTGGCAATTGCACCATTTAATTTGGCACAATGACAAATGTTCAGTGAGCGTTCGTTCCAGCACCTTTTCTTTGGGCCCATTTTAATTCACATGAACACATTGTCAAAAATGTTTTCTCCCGTGCTTCTTCTCAGATGTGATCTAAACATCAAGCCTGCAGTGACAGCATCAGATTCAATCCCAACTCTGAGCTAAGGCAACAATCGATGTCTAATGAATTCCACTCCGCTGCCTGGCAATCCAATGTTAATTAAAAATTAGTCATCATGCTCAGCGAGCTGTGTGCTCCCTCTCCATTTAAAAACCTCTTGTAATGTGACTTCCTCTCACCTACACTGATTAAACAGAAATAAAGCTTCAGAGATTTTATCATCTGACAGTCTCCGATTATGAGGCTTTCTTTTGAAATCCAAAGCCATTATCTGCAAGCTTAACACCCCCTCCCACTGTGACCTTCCTAAAACGCATAACTAAATGCCCGCAACGTTCGACACTGTGGGTTAATCAGCTTTCCTCGATCTGCAAAGGAGTCCTCTCACTGTCTCTTAAAGCCGCATATTGTGTAGCGTGAACTGACGGCGGATGATGACACTGTGGCTTTTATCCCTTTTAAGCCGCTGTTATCAAATCGTGTGAAAAAATAAAATTATCAGGTAAAATAAAAAGAGTTTGCTGATGCTACTACAGGACCTTTTGTTGAATAAATTTTGATTTGAAACCTTTTTTTAAATGTTAATGACTAATAGAAAGTGTGGGGCATGAACGTTTTTTAGCTTCCAAAGGAGGTCAGAAAACGTTTGAGAAATTGAAATTGCAAAGAGGAAAAAAAAAAAAACCCCCAGAATATGTTCTACTCTATAATCATGTTTTCATTCTAAATCTTCCTAAAACTATTAACATTTTTTACCATTGCGAGCGTTTATAGTTTTTAAAAAAACATTTTGTTCCCCTTTTATGACTCGGATAACAGTGAGAGGAAATGTTTTCCATTTATTAATGCAATCATTCTGACCCTTTTATAACAAAATGCTAGAATTGAAAGCAGACATCAGCTGTATCAGGTTCTTGATCTTAGTAGTGCTAAGATTGAGATACTTCTTAGTTGTATCTCACTGGCACAGCAGGTAAGAAAGAGGCGACACAGCATGTGGAAATATGACCGTCTGACTGCATGGAGACAAACGCGACTGGGAACATGTGAAGCTTTTTAGGCTTCACATGAACCTGAACATAATTCATTTGACAAAAACGAGGACAATAAACAACCTCCGAATAGAAACTCCAGGGGTGCCTGACTCAGAGACCATGACATCAGTCGTTTAGACAGATGTACTTTGCACAATTGAAAGATAAGCAAGAAAACATCATGGCATTTTTTTTGTTTTATGGTATTTTACTTTATCATATAGTATGAAGGCATTTTTAAACATGTAAGTTTGTTAACGGATACAGGAGCTTATAAAGACGATTAATAGGACGGCCACAGCATTCAGGAAACATTAGAGAAATGAGTTTCATACATTCTGAATGTGTCTCTTAAAACGCCTCGAGATGCCTGGATAGCAGACAATTTATTATCACAGCATCTCAGTGCTGGAAGAGCCAGGACCCACTACAGCGAGCGATTGTGAGGTTGACGTGCACGTGTGTATTTCATTTGTATTTATGATTATTTTGCTTATAAGAGGATGACAAAAGCCTGCGTTGCCCAAACCTGCAACACTAATTAATGAGCTCGCCTCTCATGTTGAGCACTGCTACCAAAGAATGACAGGCCTGTCTTTTGCTCCCATGGCCACATGATCGTCCTGTAAGACACGGGACTCGGCTGCACTCTCGACTTTTTGAAGCTGGTTGGTAACATCACTGCTGAATTAATCACATTGAGAGGAGCTCACAGTTCAGCTGCAGTTTGTCGACTCAGAGCAAAGATGTGTGAAGAGCTCAAGACTGAAGTGCTGCTTTCGTTACCGCCGGCCTCCAATGTGCCCACGGTTCATGAGACAGATGGAGCTGAAAGCCTGAGCTGCACAGTAGAGACTTTGAAACACAGGCAGGAAACTCAGTTAAATTAGTCCTCTTCAGTGAATTGGCAAATCTTTCAAATTGTTGTTGGGAAAGTGTCATTTTCCCAGCAAATAGAGACTAATTCTGTGTAAACAATTAACTGGAAAAACTGCCATTAATACAAAATAATGTTGATACTATTCCTAAAGAAATGACAGCGTGTGTGCAGAGCCATTTATCTTATAGTCATGCAGGGATTTGCTCTTCAGTGTTTTAGAGAAGCCTATGTGCTGTAATTGCCTTAACTGTTGAACAAAAGCATCACTCTGGTGACAAATGAACTCTTGTTCTGTTTGATCCTAAACCGTCTCTGTTTGTTTGCACCAATAAAACTCAAATTGGATCAAATTCAGTTATGGTGATTCAATTTTAAGCAGTGGACAGAAAAGCGCGGGGGGACTCGGGGGACTGAAACCAAACAAAAAAAGATGAAAAGTTCAGGAGAGGAGACACCGAATCAAGAATCCACATATATGAAAACATCCAGGAGCTTCATCTCATAATGTTTATTTTATTTGCACAATTCAGTCATTGTTAAAATGGCTGAATTGACGCTGTTAAAATTCACTTCGGGGGCTTGTTTCTACTTCTAAATTTTGTGTGCTGTTGGGTGATTAATGGCAAGCTTCAGCTAAGATATGAACTCTGTCTTTTTCTTTATTTGGGGAGAACTATTACCTGCTGCACAGCTCAATTTCCATCTATTTGTTTCGCCCACTTGTTATTTCTACACTGATTTGTCATTTTTCCGGGTCTTTGTGTGCAATTTTGTCTTTCATGCTGCTTCAGTGTAGCTCTATTTGATTTTTTTTTCCCCCCACCATTTTTCATTTGGAAAAACACACTCTGAAAGCTCTGGGGGATCTTTTTTCTTCCCTTTCACAAATCGCACTCACCTCCTCCTTTTTCTTTTCCATGTCACTTCCATAAACATCACCGAAACCTCTAACAGGCTCTGCGTCTGGCACTCGCCGCTTTCACGTTCTCTTCCTGCTGCACAGCCGGCCTCAATTAGTGTGAATGGGCAGCGCAGTTAGAAGACTCTGTGTTGCATATGTTTTACTACCTCCATTCCACATGCTGTGTGCTCCTGATAGTCTTCATTGACTCATTATTCTGTGCACTGATGTGTTGCATGTCAGTTGATCTTCATGGAAATTGAGAGGCTGTATATTTGAAATGTGATGTATCCATGCTGGTTAACTCATTTCCTCTTTCTGATTGAGTTTCTGAGTGTGTTTTCTCCTTTTGTCAGTCTATTCATGTTTGTGTCTTTTAAAAAGGGCGAGCATTTGAGGATCCCCACCAACAAGTGCTGTCCAGAGTGCGCCTCCTCATCCCAGGGCTCCTGCCAGTACGAAGGAGTCATTTATGGAGTAAGTGATTATAAAAATGGCTGCTTCTCTTTCACCATACAAATTATTCAGGGTTGAAATGTTTACACCAGGATGCAGCAGCTATAGATCAGTTTGCCAGAAGTTTATTAAATCATTGTCTTCCTTTTCCTAATTCATCCCTTTTCCTGCTTCAACATGGCACAAACTCAGGTTCACAAAGAAAGTGACAATCGGTTTGTACAGACGATTCACCTCATCAACTTTCATTTGGGTGAACCGACAGGTTGACCGCGACCTGGGCCAACATCAGCATTTGATGCTTTTATGGTTAAATGGGAGGAAACCCCTGCAGCCAGGCTCTAAAGCTGTGTGGAAAACCTAAAATTAGGAAAATGAAGTCTGTAAAAGCAGTGCATTATTTCTTGGAATGTCATTGTTTCACGGTCGTGTGGAACGTAGAGTAGGGTTGAACTGAAAGCGAGCCATTTATTTAGGCTGATGACAACAATACGAAAAGGTAAAAGCTAAAATTTTAAAACACTAGGGCTAGAAAACAGCAAAGCAAGGGGAGCAGACTCTGTGACAAAGGCTACGTCCACACGTACACGGGTATTTTTGAAAACTGAGATTTTCCGTTTTAGTTTTAAAAAATAATCCCGTCCACACGTAAAGGCAGAAATGAAGGAAAACGCTGCCAGGAACATGCCAAAGCAGCAGGTGGCGATATATTCCTAACAGTGTAGAAATGTTGGCCAATCAGAAGTCTAGAAGCCTCGGTGGGAAAAAGTAAACAAAGCTGGGGCACAGGAGCAGAACCGAGTCGTATGTGTGGAGGGACAGTAACTGTGTGTGTATATGTAAGCATTTAAACACTGCAGAGAGTACAATTAACAGTAACAGTATTGTAGAAATTCATTTCACCGAAACAATAACGTGGCGCACAGTGTGACGTCAAAAAAGACGCACACCTTTGATGCTGCGTTTTCTCAGTTTTCCTCGTCCACACGTAAATGCAAAAACTGAGTTTTCAAAAATATCCACCCTGGCAGGCGTTTTTAGAAATCTCCGTTTTCAGTGACCGAAAACGCCATTTACGTGAGGACGAAAGGTGCAAACGCATAGAAAAATCTGCGTTTTCAAAAATACCCGGCTACGTGTGGACGAAGCCAAAGAATAAAGGGAAACATCAACTATATACACACACAGAACGGCAATCAGGGCAATGGAGGCCACCTGGGGAGAACAAGACACAGCTGAACTAAATCCCAGACGACGAGACAAGGGAAACAAAAGTAACAAAAAAGCACAAGGAAAACTAAATCAAGAAATAAAGTAAGACGTGAGATAACTACATGGGGAAAACGCATGAATCAACTTAATACACCGAGGGAGGAAATAAACGCAAAGGCAACCAGGGACAAAATGAATGACACAAAAGAAGAACACATGACGCAATCATCAACGACACTGAACCATGACACATGCCCAGTAATCATTTATAGATGTGTGTTTTCTCTTGTATGCCACCCTTTTCTTAAAAAAAATATTATAAAAGTTACTCAAAAAGTAAAAAATGTTCTGCGTGAACAAACCAAAGTCATTCAGCTCATGCACTGGTAGAGTTTGTAGACTCATGTCGACATGCTGTAGTTATTTGAAGGACTTGCATTGAATCGCCAGTCAAATCTAATAAAAATGTTTTAAAATTTTTTGCATTTGCCCCAAAATAAGGTTTTAAACCTATTATAAAGACTTTAATTCTCAATGGCTCTCGCTTCTATTGTCTCTGACATCACTTATGAGCAATAAGAATTTAGTCAGTCTAATCCTGTGTTTTCACAAAGCTGACAGGTCAGCCTGACTCGGGTATTTAGACATGCCTCCCAGTGTCTGACTGTTTGGAAACAAACGCAGCAACAGCTTCAGTTTTATTTCATTTTTTATTAGTTCATCAAAGTTGTTTTTTTCTTTTTGAACCTGCTGTTTCCTTCTCTGCCCTTATTTACAGGCTCATATCAGTCATTTGACACTGATGAGTTTGGAACTTGTAACTGCTCTTCAATACCCAACTCCTCAGTCACTTCCAAAACAAACTAATGCTAGTGTCCCCCCCGCCTGACAAAAGCATCTCTGGCTGTTTCATTTTCCATCAAGTGTCCTCTAGTTTAATGATGTTGGCTGCCATTTTGGATAGTAAACGACCTGAAGAGAAACGGGTCTTTCTTGGCAATGATTTTAAAGAGTTTGTTGGCATTGCTTGCCTGGTGAAGTAGCACTTGACATGGATCTGAACAGCGAGAGGAGAGATGAGTTTTGGAGAGGAGTAATAGCATTTTAAGAGTTTTGCTGCATCTTCTTTGAAGGGCAAAGAATAACATTGCATTGCTGCCGCTCCTTTTCCAGGAGACACAGTCTGGAACTGTTGACTTCTTCCTTTTTTACAGAAATACAAGGTCACACAGGATGATGATCCTTATATAACAGCATTCTTTGGAGACTTTTCTGAGTTTGAACTGTCGCTCTGCAAGAGCTAAAATACAGAATTTTAATTCAATACATCACTGGCAGATTTTTCCCTCAGTATTGAAAATAAGGGAAAACTATCCTGGCTGGTAAAACTATAAAGTTCTTAATTGTTTGCCACAGACTTCTTCCTGGGGTGAAAACGAATTTGGATAAATGCTTCATTAAACCTAAGACTAATTAAGTGTTTTACAAAGGTTTAAGAAGGATTTCATGCAGGTTTCTCAGCCTGACACCTCTGAAAATGAGAGAAATCAGATCTTAACTTCTATCATTATGACTGCAGGCATGATGGACCTGCTGATATCTCATTTAGAGTGAAAGAACTGCTCTGGTCTTCCACGGTATCCACAAATGGATGTATAACAGATGGATATCGAAGTCTCTGTAATACCTCAGAATGACTGTTTAATCTATCCTGTTCTGTCAGTCACAGAAAAGAAACATCTTCATGGTTTGCATGAACATACACTCGCCTGAAGTGATAAGTCTTTCATACATGTGTGAAGAAAAGCCTGGGAAAATCACCAACAGGCTTACAGCACTGCAGTTTAGCTATCAGTCGAAAAGCTGTCGTCAACTTAAAGTTTTGTACAAACTTGAATTAGATATATGCATGTCAGCGTTCAAATGTTAAGGCAATGCCTTTTCACAGCGTGCCTCCCTATCTACATTCGCATACACCCTCTTATATTTTAATCAGGGTTTTGCTCCTTATCGCTTCTTCTCATGGTCTCTCTTTGTTCTGAAGATCTTCTGCCCCTCTGCGACTCTGCTCTCTGTCACTCAGGCTTAGTCTTACAAAGTCGTCACGTTTACAGAAAGAAAACAGCTTTCCTCTTGTCACTGTCTCTCTGCTGTTTCCTCGTCTTTTTCTTTGCACCCTCGTTGTATTTCTCTGTGTAACTGTCACTTGGTTTCTTTGATTTCCACAGCATGACAGTCAGTGGAGTCCCTCGCCTTGCTCAGTGTGTACTTGCTCCGGAGGGAGCGTATCCTGCAGCACTCGCCCCTGCCCACATCTCACCTGTCCCGGGGATCAAAGCCTGTTCACCCCAGCCGGGGAGTGTTGCCCCAAGTGTGCCAGCAATGGAGGTGAGGGCTAAATTAGGGCTAACACATAGCATATTTTGTAGATTATAGGTACCGCTTTTTTTCCACGCAGATTTCTGTTAAATGATCATAACTCTGTGTAGATACATGAAAAACATGTTGCATCTCATGGAAATTGTTTGCTTCTTTTCATTAATTTAGACAATAATTGATCTTTAGATATCTCTGAAAGGGCATCTACAAATGGGTAGGATGAGTACGATATATGCAAACAAAGCAAAACTGTGTGGTGGTGACTATGGATATGATTTCTTTTTGTTAGTTTTCAGGAGTAAATGAAAAAGGAAAGACTTTGCAGATGCGTCACATGCTTTGTGTCATGGTTTGCTCTGAGGATGCAGGACCCAAACGCAGGACTCACACACAGGAAATTTATTGCTGGAAATCACTACTACGAATACAAAACAAAAACCCGAACACTAGAAAATAAACCAGGAACTAGGAATCACTTGGCACACAGAGGGACGAAACACAGCATAGTGAGGGTCCAATACGACAACTACCAGAGAAAAACACAGGGCTTAAAAACGGCAGGGAGTAACGAGGGAATGGGAAACAGGAGGGAAGCGCAGCTGGGGCTAATCTGACATAACGAGACACAGGAAGCAAAGCAGGCTACACTGACATGGGACACGGACTATCAAAGTAAAACAGGAAACAGGACACATACGCAAAGACACAGCTTTCTACTTAATTGTCTGCAATTTAATATTTGGCACCTGTTTATGTTGATGCGCACCCTTCTGCTAAAACATGAAAATTATATTCCAGTGACCAAATGACTCATGTGAATCAGCCTCTGTCTTTATTGTCTGAAATGTGTCTCAACATTTGCACCAAAGGTGAATGTTGCCGTAGCTCTTCAGATACCAAAGCTTCATTAAATCTATAAAGTGTCGTATCCTTTTGCTGTATCTGTTTCCAAAACTAAGTTAAGACTTGAAAAAGTAGAAGATATGAATCTGCTGACCGAATGCATTTAGGTGAGAACTGCAGGTAAATGTTGTCCACACAGGCACAAACCCTTATTACTTGACAGTGATGCTTTGCCTCGCCTCGACTGAGGCTACGTTCACACTAGCCTGCATGGATTTGAAAATGGCGTCCACACTCCGCGTCCACACTAGCGTTTTCAGTCGTTTTCAATGAGTTGCACGTCCACACTAAAACAGCCGAAAACGCTGACGTTGCAGTTCCACGTATGCGTGAAATGCAAGACGACTCGACCTGCGTCATTTCCCTCCGTTTATTTACATTCCGGCTCTTTGAAACGTGGCGGCGAAATGGCAAAACAAAGCACCGAATTCTTGGTTTAAGTCGTCACATGACTGCATCATATGACCAACATGCGTCATCGTTTTCGAAAGTCTGCATTTTCGAGTGTCCACACTGCGACGGGACAGCTCCGTTTTGAAATGCAGCGTTTTCGAGAGCGCTTTCAAAACGCTGCATTTTTTCCTTGGGGAAAACGCCGTCTCAGTGTGGACGGTTTGTTTTCGTTTGAAAGCGGAAACGCATTAGTGCGGACGTAGCTTGAGTGAGACCTCAGGCGTCCGCCAGCAGCAGGTTAACTAATGACTTTGAATAAAAACCACTAAGTAAAGAGAAAACACCTCAACCTCAAACATTATCATCTCCTAACTTCAAAACCCAAATGTTTCATCAGTACTCCTTAGTCTGACCGGGCCCTGACACTTTTTTGACGAGCCGCTCCAGACTCGGATTTCTTTCTGAAAACTTTATGCCAGTGGTGATTTGTGTGACTGCATTATTTTCCAAAACTTAAAGGTTACAAGTTATTAAAATATTCTTCCCACAGTATTAGCTTCAGGAAGGCATGATTAATTAATCCCAATGTCCAAAGGCTTAAATGCTAAAGATGTATCCATCCACATGAAACAGCAATAAAAATGCAAAGCAGTTCTTAGTCAGGTATGCGTTTAAATGCCTTTCTTACAGCTGATTGAATGATGTTTTAATTACTGGATATAGTGAAACTGTTGGCCGTACTGAGCAGTGCTATCAGTGCTAAATAAATAAGCTGCATTCCTCACCCTGAGGAATAGACTGGGAGTAGTTCTTTAATATGTAAGGCAACATCAGGCTTGACCTAAAGGCACAAACAGATACATCCAGGAGTATAATTTTCTGTATCTGTAGATCAGCCCATTTTTACCTTTGCCCGATTCTGCTTTTGATTGAGGATTGGACCGATACCCAATCATAAATATCAGATTGGTGTATGTCAGACATGCAGTTAATTACTAGAGATGAACTCTTTTTATGTATCGCACATATACTTGGATCAGACCAGATGTGTTGTGACAAACCCAGAGTTTATAGAGTGCACAGAGCAGCCAGATTGGAGCTGAAAGGTTAATCGAGACTGTAATGACGTCTTTGAGCTGCTATGATGCATCCCAGTGGTTAGCAGCTAATTTGCTACTACTTTCTTTCTTCTCTCCTGACCCTAAATCACTCTGTGATGCAAACAGTGCCTGAACTGTCAGCTCATTACCTGACACTATTTACTCATTTAGTTTTTATCTGTGTGTGTGTGTGTGTGTGTGTGTGTGTGTGTGTGTGTGTGTGTGTGTGTGTTTGTTAGAGTCTTGCTCTTGGCAGGGGATCGTTTACCGGGATGGAGAGGAGTGGAAGCCCAGCCTCTGTTCCAGATGTGTCTGCAGCAATGGAGAGGTCCAGTGTTCAGTAGCAGAGTGTCAGCAAGTGGCCTGCAAACCGGTAGGTTTCCAGAAACACACAATTTTAAGAGGTTTTGATCTTTAATTTTCATGTGGGCAGTCACTGTTTTTTAATTCACTAAACCTACTTGCATTAAAAGAAGGATTTGGAAGGAGGTGTCTTGGATCCATCCTAGTCAGCTTTCCTCTGTTACCTCCTAAATCCCTCAGCTCACCACCTTTCTAGTCTAAAGCTAAGCGCAGAGACTCATTTTCGCTGCTTCTGTCGTATTTTTACTCTCGGTGACTAACAGCTCGTGGTCATGGCTGAGGAGAGGAACACTGACACCTTCACCTGTACTCTCACCACAACAGACCAGGCCTGCAAACACTGCATCAGTCACCTGCTCCACTCTGCCACCGCTCACAGAAAACTCCCCGAAATACACAACAAAAGTGGAATATTTATTTCAGCTATTCTTAGAAAAGAAACAAATTATATTGAAATGCTAAAGATAGAGGAGCCTGTTTTAAATTCCAGTATGCCTCTTGGGTTATAGACACCTCTTTTTTCTATTTTAGTGCTTTTTTTTTTATTCCTTCACAGGTTAAATAAATATTCATGTGTTAAAAAAAGAAATGCAAGTAAGAAAGGTTTGAAGTTGTTGCAAGGTGGTTTGGCTTTGTGCTAAGGATGAAATTCATCTTATCAACCTCTTGGTAATTGTATTTGCTAAAATGTCAGGTGGGCTAACAGTACTGTCAAAGCTTATATGCCCTTTGTTGTGAAATACAGTGAAATAACGGCTAATCTGAGAGGGTTTGTGCTTGTGTGTGTGCAATGTTTCCTCAGCATGAGAACTTGGTGATCCAGCCAGGAGAGTGCTGTCCCCAGTGTGTGTCCAACCCTTGTCTGTCAGCTGGAAAACAGTACCAGGTAGGCAGCCTGTGGGTGTTTGAACTGTGCTTGTACTGTGTATGCACCTGTTATTGTGCAGATTTGTGTGAATCCTGTGGTTTACAAAGCCTCTGTGTGTTGGAGGCAGCTGATAACGGCTCATAAATCTATACATTTGAAACCTGAAACATTGATTAGAATATCTGTGATGATAGTGAGAATATGATGCATGCAGTGAATATGTGAATGTCTCTATTGACATGAAAAGTCTGAGCCTTCGTCTCTCCTCCTCCTCTTCCTCCTCCTCCTTCTTCTCCTCTCCTGCTGTGTTTGCAGTGCACATGCTCCCATCTCGCTCACTGCCAACTTTCTCTTTTGATCACAGAATGTCCCATTCTATCTAATGTGTGCTTGTGTTACCCCACACACACACACACACACACACACACACACACACACACACACACACACACACACAGTCTCATTCATGTTGGCGTCATCTCGACGGATAAGAGAAGGAATTGTGATGCTTTGCCTCTGGTGTCGATTACCTAACTGAGTAGCTATACAGTCCATACATGAGTGCCTCCACATCGGCATGCACACACACATATTATTGTATATATGTGTGTGTGTAAAACACATGTAGTATACATAAGAGAGAATTTCTAATTCTCACATTTAAAAATGGAAAGAATCCAATCTCACGATTCCCAGTGTCCATTTTTCATTTCTACACTTTATTTATAAGGGAGAGGGCAGCACAGTGGTGGCATGGTTAGAGGTGTTGGTGCTCACAGCAATCAGGCTCCTGGTTCAAACCCCAGCTGGGGGCCTTTCTGCGTGGCATGTGTGGGTTTCCTCCAGTACTCCAGCTTCCAACAGTACAAAGACATGCATGCTAGGTTAATTAATAATTCTTAATTAGCCATAGATATGAGATTGTAGAAGTGGTAGATGTGGATATGTTTAAATGTGACTTGTACTCAAAGCACTCTGAGAGATCAGTAAATATTGAAAAGCACATTAAATAGAAGAAAGGCTTTTTATTTTTCTATAGCGATATGATTATAAAACACCTACAGCGAGCCTTTTACTTGTTTACCTTGTGTAAAATGTGTTGGTTGGCTAATCCTGTGTTTGAATTATGTACTTAGACACTTTAACACCATCAGTGATGCAGCTGAAAGAAGCTAAAACCGTCTCACATTCATCTCATCCACTGTTTAAATGATAGAGAGCTGCGATACTGACAGCTTTCCAATAGACTCGTGTGTGTTCCAGTACAGAATAAAGCTCAAGCACATTCATACAGCATTTAAAAAAATACTGTATATACTGTTCAGTGTTTCCTCTCAGTCACACTTCTTTCAGCCTGTTTTATGTGTTTACCTCCTTGTGCTGTTCTTAATATTATAGTTTGATCCACTTTGTGAATTATGGCCTCCTCAGCTTGCATTTCCGTCTGTTCGCCATACTGTCATATAAACTTGTATCTACACTATAAACCCTGGGTTGGCCTGTCAAGGTCATAACCAATTTTATTAGATAACTTAAACTCAAAAGAGATGTCCTGAGTATGTTTAACCTGCTCTGTAGTACGAGCTAAACTTCACAAAGGCAAAAAGGATCAAAGGACACATTACAATGGGTTATAACAGGCATCGTTTTTGCTTTTACCCTCAAAATTGTAACACGATCATGGGATCTGTGGTGACTGTTAAAAGTCTCCATCGTTGGTGCAGAAATCCTCTAAATGTGAACGTGGATGAAGTGATAGGAAATGTAAATAAGTGTGTCTGCATGTATACAGCACAAGATTCCAGATATTTAAGACTTTATTAACATTGTGCATCCTAAAAGCTATTTATTGTGCCGTCCTTTAATCAGCCTGGTTGTTCAGAAGAGAGTGAAGTAGTCTGGACCTCTGTGATATAGATCATTATTATACACTTCGTAATACGCATGCATACGAAAGAGAGTTTCATGCAAGTTATGTTCAAAGAGCTCTACAGTGTGCCTCACAGGGTTTTGATGCCTTAAATAATGAAATAATTTGCATCCTCTGGGCTATAATCAATATTTAATTGAGCAGTTTAGGGTGGAGGAGGAAGGAAGTTGGAATTTAATCTGACATTTACAGAATTTGACCTTAAATTTAAACAGATAATACGTTTAGGATCTTAAACACATCAGACGTGGAACATCTGTGCGACATTTCCTTTGGTATCATGACAACATAGAGCAAAAGCAAATGTTTTCTCTGAAAGGGAGTCAGAACTTTATAAAGAAGGTACAAATTAAATGGATGCGTCTGAAACCCGTCATCGATCACTGCAGGAAGAGTTTGTGAAGGATACAGCTGACCAAGAAACATAATAATAACCAAATGACATAAGAGCTGTTTGTCCTTTTCTGTGTATGTTTTGTGTGTTTGCGTTTTTGATTAACATTGACAACAATAACAATATTGTAGAAAAAGTGCAGCTTAACATGCTGCTCACTGTTTTAAATACCTGTTACAACAGACCAAGGAAGATCAAAGAACTATTATTTTAAATGATTGCGTTACTGCACCGGGAAAAAGCTAAAGTGATGTCATTGCAGTGCTCTGGTGGGAATCTTTAGCATTCATGTGGTGCCCACCTAAGTGTTGCAGATCAAGCACACCCTCCTCTAAGGCAGCGGTCCCCAACCTTTTTTGCACCATGGACCGGTTTAATGTCAGACATATTTTCACAGACCGGCCTTTAAGGTGTCGCGGATAAATACAACAAAATAAAATGATACGACCAACACAAAAAACAGATATTTTGTAAATATAATAATAATAAACGCAAATTCACTGTGTACTTGTGTAACTTTATTAGCAGCGTCCTCCTGAAATGCACCAACAACACGGAGAGTAACATCCTCCTAACATCCTCAACCTCCGCCAGCAGGATAACACTCGTCCACACCTGAATGCTGAATGTAAAACACAGACGTAGCCACTGTGATGTCACCCACTTGTTTCTGCACTGGGCAACTTTTACTCCCAACATTTCTACACAAATATCTGTACTTTCTACTCCTTACACTTTTGTCATGAACCACAGTTCACGCAATCAAGTGGAGCCCAAAAGCAAACTCAATACGCTTCAGTGCGAGCAAGTACAAGTTTTATTATTCAACAAAAGGTGACCCGGAACAACCACGGGAGGCGAGAGGCTAATCGCAGAACTGAAGGAAACCAGGAAAACAAAGGACACAGGGAAGCTGTAATCGGGACTGTGGGAGGCTGCAACACAAAAGGGGAAAAGGTTGTTAGTGTGCAGGGGAATGGAGAGACACAACAAGACCGGGCTAGAGCAATCTGGCTTACGATCAGAGCCGCACCGTGGGACTCGTGGGAGGTAAATCCGAGGAGGCAGAGACGAGGTCAGGTGGTACACTCTGAGAGCCAAGCAGGCAGCAGGACAGTCAGGTGGCAGACTGGACAGTAACCACTGAGGGGTGATCACTGACTGGCGTGGAGCAACCGTCTATGCAGGGTTAAATATTCCTCCTCGTAATCGCCTGGAATGGGATGCGGGTGTGATGGTGACGGCCCATTCTGAGGGTGTGGTCACCGGGGCATCCCCAACACTCCTCAGACACAGAGCCACGCACCATGACAGCTTTCACAGCAGGTGCACTGTGCACACTGTGTGACTGCAAACGTCAAGCCCATTTAAGCGTTTTTGGTGCAGTTCATAAGTTGTGTTTGCGGTACAAGCGTCAAGCTAGTGCTACAAAGAGAGTAACCTGTAAACTTTCTTGCTTTTTTTTTTTTTTAGTTTGCAGTTATTTTCAAATTCAAGTTTCTATCAGCTCAACAAACATCAGCTGTTTCTGTGCAGTCTCTCACACGGTGTTTTGCTAGCTAAAAATACAGCAGCTATATTTCTCAACGAGTAAAAACAGTGAGCGAGCCTGGACTTTCTCACTTTTAATTGAATAAAGAAGTTTAATCGGTACTTCAGCTTTTACCAGAATATTTTTTTAGCACAAGTGCCTGTACACCTCTGGGTTTTTGAAGCCAGAGGTTGCTATGTTTGCGGCAGAGGGTTGAGTGTTAAGCTATTGCCTAAAGCTAGTATCTGGTGCAACCCACAGATAAATTCTATTTAGTGTGAAGTAACAGGCTAATAAATAAAAGTTCACTAACAAAAAATGCAGCACTAGCTTTTTGGATAATTGTACCACATAGCAGGCCATATTTCTTTGTCACAAAAATCCATTAAAAATGTTCCAAAAGGCAGCGACTGCACAAAGGTGACCTACACAATAAAAGTCCAGTTTGCTTTCAATAATATGCTTCATACATATTTCAAATACTTCATTAATTAACTGTTTCAACACTTCACACTTCCTGTGCAAGTTGTGCATTCAGTGTTTGAGCTCACTGCTGTTATAGTCTTCAAATTAAAGAGAATCATGTGGAAATCTGGTGGCTGGCTCCGTGTTTGTATGCTTTTCACACTGCAGAGCCATCCCATTGTTGTTCTCAAAGAAAAGAAGGCGCTCACTGGTTTCAAATGAGCTGTGAGTTTCCTGCAAACAGCTTGTGATTCACTGTGTGTAAGCCTGAAAGTGTGTGTGTGGGTTTGGAGATGGTCTAAATGTGTATTTGTGTGTCTCTTGGCAGCACGGTGAGCAGTGGCAGAAGAACACCTGCACCACGTGCGTGTGTGACCGGGGTCAATCTAAATGCCACACTAAAACCTGTCCACCCATAACCTGCGACAAGGTGAGTAGTCTCATGCACACAAATGCACGCGCACAATCGCTGACATTCGGTTTTATGCAGAAGTCGCCACACACTGACAGTATCATGCATCGCTAACTATCTCTGAACCTTTAGAGTCTCCGAACACATCGTGGATTTCAGACGCCCTCAGATTTATTTTCTGGACACTTTACCCAACCCACCCCAGCGTTAAGCTAACCTTTTCATAACTAAGTCTTCAGATTATCAGTTTAACAGCCAGATTACCCAGAAAGTTTAAAAACAGATTCACTCGAACATTTTTGCCAGAGGTGATGCTTGACACAACTTAGAAATAGATCCAGGAAGTATTTTTTACCAGTGCAACATGGGAAAATTTATCAAATGGAAAAAAAGAAGATGTGACGTTGATGCTGTCAAAGAAGAAAATACAAAACCCACAAGACCAAATACACACATGCACAAAAAAACCATTGAAAAAAGTCAGACTAACGCTCTAAAGCCAAAATGACTTTAAATTCTTTAGGCACATGAAAAATATATCTTTGCTTTGAGCAATTTATAAACTAGCTGCAGCATTTAAACATTTATTCTACATCGTAATGGAAGCCAGTGTAAACCTGCAGGTGTTTTTCTTAAGTAAGGGCTGCACGGTGCTGTGGTTAGGACTGTCACCTTGCTAACAAGGGATCGTTGGATGTGATTGGTCCAGGTCTTCTGGCTTCCTCCCACAATGCAAAGACATGCCTGTTAGGTTGGTGATTCTAAACAGGGCGTAGGTGTGAATGCAAGTGTCTGTTTCTATGTGTTGGCCGTGCAATGGGACAGGCCTCGGGCCCCCTGCAAACACATGTTTGTCAGGAAAACGATTAGTTATGTCTATAACTTCTGTTCCCTGAAGGAGAGGAACGAGGTACAACACATAAGTATGGGATATCACGCCCTCGCGTGTCCTGGCTGAAGAAACCTTTATTCACGCCTTTACGGCAGATGACGTGTGATGACACGCGCACGGCCCCGCCCGCACATATAGCCGCTGTCATCAC